AAACAATGCCATCAATTTGCCGCAACGCCATGGCGGCATCAGGGAGCCTTAGGTTGTTTATATTGTGGTGGTAATGTGGTGCAATCATGTCCTTTTTAGAAAAGATTAGGCGATGGCGGCATAAAGGGGGTATGGGGGTGGTCTCTGCACTGTTGCGGACTTCCGTTTATCTTGGACATAACCTGCGTTTTATTGCAATTGAAGCAGCGATCAGTACGTTTTTAACTAGCTGCTACTAAAGGCGACTGTCCCCATCACTCCCTGTGCAGTCTCTGATGATCTGAGCTCCAGCTCTAACAGAGAGACGCTCATGTAGCGTTGCAGCACTCCAGTTTGCCGTCTCAGTTGATTTTGTTCAAAAAGCAAAACTTATTTTCCGTGTTTACTTTCATTTTCAATATATTTGCGTCATCATGATACCGCCCTCTGTCGCGCCATGGTGCAATAGCCACTTATAAGACAGACCATTACCACAATATTACTACCAAGTGAGGTGGAATGCCATGCCGGCGTGGCGTGTTTATACGACACACCGTTGTGGTAATGCTACGCCGATTTGCCGGTATGGTGTGTCTTGTAAAAAGGACTATAATCTGATGCACTTTCGTAGTCCTGGTCATCTTTTCACACAAAACCTAAAATTACTTTTGCTCTCGTTGGAAAATAAGCGCTTTCTTGGCATCAGAATGCGTCTTTAAAATTCACAGACATCCAATGTTAAATCCATGGCACATAACACACAAGGTTGGAAACAAGCATTTTTATCCACATTGACTTGCATTCATTTTTTCATTCTTCTGTGGTCCAGAAGTAGATGGGCATGACTAGCAGCCTCAAATGTCAGAGTCCATTGACCAGCTCTGATGTCAAATGCAATATGGCTGCCTTGCATCTGAAGAGGGAATGTTTTGAATTGTTTTACAACAGGAACACAGTTAACTCCTTGCAGAGAATTCCCATAAATACACATAAAACCACGTCTCAGCATTAGTACCTTCATCATAACCTGCCCCTTCCAGTCCAGATCTACAGGGCAGGGCCTTTTTTTGCATTACTGGTATGTTGTTGCACAATACAATTTTACTAATTATTTTACAGTTGTTTTAAATGTCATATTAACAATAAGTATGCTAATTTTACACAAACTTATTTCATATTTCAGGCTTTAAAGAGTTGAATCAGTGCTGGTGTCATTCGGTGATTCATGTTACAGCATCCAAGGTATAAGTGAAATGCAAAATAACTCTAAATTGTCCCTGTGTGTGTGTGAGTCATTGTGTGGCTGGTTGTTTGTCCCGGACACCTGTCCAGGGCGTCCCCCTCACCTCACCCGATGACTGCTGGAGGTAGACGCCGGCTCCCTGAGATCCTAGGAGGAAAAGCGGCTATGAAAATGAGTGTTTTGAAGTTGCATACATGTGTGGTTTGTGGGATTAGGTCCTGCAGTCAGATCTGTTATGCTGACTTTGTCTACAGTCGGCTGATGTCAGTAATCCAGGCCAAACTAAGGCATTCATCTGAACTAGTTAGATGGAGCGCCCGGACATTTGTTGTCAGGAATAAGTGAATATCCTCCAGCCTGTCAGAAGCTGCAGCTGGAGCTTGACCTTGCTGCTAAAATAAACATAAAGCTGCTACTAATGTCAAAAACAGGCATTATTTAAGCTTTATCAGTGCTGTTTTAGAGACAGCCAAAACATTTCCTTGTTGCATACATCCAACCATGGCAGTAGTTAAGCCTGCATGCTGGAGGAGAGTTCTCCCAAGTGGTGATATTTCTCAATGATGCGATAAAAATAACCTGTTAAAAAAGCACATAGTAGGTGGGATTATTATCTGTTGCACCTGTGACTTTTGACTTAGTGTTAAAAAGACAGAATAATCAGTGATCAGAGATGAGCATTATTATTTCAAACATGCTTTTTTCTGAAACCAGGTCAAACTCTTACACGCCGAGGAGTGTGAACGCACCATTTATGCATGAAATCTAATAGGGTGATGTATGGCAAGTATCTTTAGGGTGTATTTAAACTTGTGGGAGGCGAGCAACAGTACCGGGTCCAGCAGGGTGATTTTTTTATACATTATATTAAGATTATTGAGCTCCTGAGTTTGCAGAGCCACATAAAATAATCTTTTTTACAGTTTGATGTGAGCTACATTTGATCTGAAAATATTCAATACAAGCCTGACTCGTGCAATCCACAAGAATGCCAGTTGTGTTTTTGCTAAAGCTGCAGCCGTCTCATCATCACCAATATGTTCTGAACCTGTCACACAAACCTGCGTATAAGCCTGCATCTTCCTCCTCATCCATTTCCCTTCCCTGGCAGCCAGAGGAGCGGCAGTCCAATGCTAGCCACATCACTTGTGCTTTCAGGCATGCATTTGATCCCTGTGTAAATTGCTTTCCCCTCAGATAAGTTACCTCGCTGACATGTAGATGGGGGGAGGGGGGGCTGTAACTCCCCAGAGATTGCAGGTGGAAACATTTTATTAGATCCGGTGGTGCTTCATAGGCTGGAAATCCTCTCATTACTTTTCTTTATCTCCGTTTGCCTGATCTTTAAGTCAAAGACAAATATTGTTTAGTCTCTGAAACCACACAGAGTATCGGCCCACTTATTGAATAAGCTCCAACACACTGAATATTAATATTGGGAAACAGGAAATAGCTTCTTTGTGGTCCTGGAGTGAAAATTCGTACATTTATATTAGTCATTAATCTCTTCTGTAATGATAAATCTAGAGAAATTGTCATGAAAGGTCAGCTTTCTTTTCTTTTTTGTGGCTTTCGGGACCGTAGTCTGAACCTTTGGTGTGTTTCAAATTGATTGTGACCTAATTCTGTAATTCTCTTTGAGTGCATTGATTTCTTACCTCTGACATTCAACACCATGCAGCCGCACAGCTATCTCTGAGCAGGACGTGATGTAACATCATACCAGGCGCTGGCAGGGCTTTCTTCATCGTTGTTGGGAGGAAGAGAAAATATCTAGACATGAAAGCCAGTCTTAATGCATGATATCAGTAGCCTTCTTCTGCCCACCGTCAAAATCAAAGATATATTGAAGGCTTGGAAGGAAAAATCGATAAAGAAGAAGACCGTGTTTTGTAGAGGGGTCACATGAGCAAATGGGGTCATCCTTTTGTCTCCCGACTGTACGAAGGTCAAACTGTTGACCCTTTTTCGTAAACTCTTGTGACTCAAAACTCAGTTTAAATATTTAATTTACATATTTGTGCTTTTGGACAGTTGGGATTAAATGTGCATGTACAGCAGGGGTAGCAGTAGCTCATCAGGTTGAGCGGTTTATCCAGTAATTGGAAGGTTGCAGGTTCGATCCCGGACAGAGAATTATGCTGTTGTGTCCTTGGGCAAGACACTTAACCCACGTTGCCTGCTGGTGGTGGTCGGAGGGACCGGTGGTGCCTGTGCTCAGCAGCCTCGCCTCTGTCAGCGCGCCCCAGGGCAGCTGTGGCTACATCGTAGCTCATCACCACCAGTGTGTGAATGTGTGTGTGAATGGATGAATGATACACTGTAGTGTAAAGCGCTTTGGAGTCCTTACTCTGAGAGGCGCTATACAAGTGCGGGTCATTTATCATAAAAACTAAATGTGACAACGTAAGGTAGAAGATAACGCTGGGTTCTGTAGTATGACGTCATCAAATAGACTAGGAAGTTTTAAAATTTGAACGGCTACAGCTCCCATCCCTGCTCCTCCCTCCCCGTCATACGGGAGAGCCATCAGACTAAACATCAGAGCTAAAACGTCGGTCCGAGGCTGAATACTGTGCTAATCACTCATATCCAATTCACAAAAGATAAATCCTTGTTCTGTTCCCTCCCTCCTTCCTCCACAGTCAGCTCTACATTTACAGACTGACATAAAATCAGTTAGCTTTCAAGCTAGCACCACATTAGCTTGTAGTAAACAGCATACAACAATCATCTGCACTATTATTTATTTTACTTATTTGTTGAAGGTGACAACAATCCTCTCTACACTTGATCCTGCTGTGACTAGCTGTTAGCCTGTCAACCCAGTCAGAAGTAGGCCTAAACTCCGCTTCTCTGAACTGAGGTCATTCAAAGGGCTAACAGTTCCGCAGAAACCCACCGATAATGTGTGTCTTAAGGTTTTCTATCCCTTAAAAATGCCGTTTTGTTTCCCATATTAAAATGAAAATGCTAAAGATCGACATAAAGTTAAACATCATCAATGATGAAGATAAATAATTCACGCGGAAGCTTTTTCATCTCCCAGACTGCTGGTCTGTTGTCTCTAACATATTTTTTTCCTCTTAAGATTCCTAAAGAGATTGGGAGTAGCCAGAGACCTTAGCACAAACGCATAAATCTTCCTATCGCCTTATCGCGGTGGTCATTTTCATTTTTCACCTGGTGCACATTCGGAAGACGATGATTATATTTAGTAAAAACCGAAACAAAGAAAATGGTAATTGTTTTGACATATTACTCCTAAGTGGGAGCTGTTTCATTTGTGCAAGAATTCATCTTAGCTGTGGGCTTATTGTCATGGCAACAAGCACATCATTTTTACCTCAGCAGCCCACTTCAGCCTTTCATTTCCTTCTCTAGGTGCTGATGAAACTGATAGGAGAATTATCTCGTCTTGTTTGTGCTAAAGCGCAAGTAAAGCAGCGTTGCCATCCTGATGTGTTTAATCTCAAATTAATGTAATATACTGCAGCATCCTCTGCTTCGGAGCCGAACCATCAGCGGGAGGAAAATTTATGGTGTGTTGACTCCACTGCTATCCTGTTAATATATCAGAAACAGGGATCAGATGAGATTAGTGAACTCTTCAAAGCTGCTCTTGTAATTGCCTTCAAGAGCCAACATTAAGGCAAGCTCAACACAAATCAAGAAATGAGGCATGAAATAATTAGGCCACTTCTTTCTGTTTGGCTTAAAGTCTCTTTCTGTTTTTGTCACTTCCTTTCCTCACACTCTCCTAATGGTTTTACCGTAGGTGACGATCCTGGTGGATGGGATTCTCACCACTACTGGCTACACTCAGGAGGACTACACCATGCTGGGCTCTGATGATCTCTTCTACATAGGGGGCAGCGTGAACACAGCTGACCTGCCAGGTTCTCCAGTCAGCAACAACTTCATGGGCTGTCTGAAGGATGTGAGTAAAACCTCGCTTCACGCCGTGCGCTGGAAACATTATCCTAACCTCCTTTGATACCACCATGCCTTATTACGGGCCGTGCATGTTCAGCGTATGGAAATCTCACCTTTGCATTTGCACAGATTCTGCTGTTGTAGGGTATTTGAAGGAGAAGCTTTCAGCGGGGAGGCGTTGCTGTGCATTCACACACTTCTGCGGGAATCCCTCTGAGGACGCTGCACTAATATACACGAGAAACAATCCTATCCTGACACATCAGCTGAACCCACTTTTCTTCACTGCTTCCACATTTTTGAAGCCTTTCTCTCCTGCCTGCACCCGTCACATCCAATATCCCCAGCATGCAAGACAGGATTGTACACTTTCATTATCAGTGGTAAAGACAAAGCAATGAGTACAGTGGTGCTAATTAAATTAAAGGCTTGGTGTTCCCCAGAGGAATGCAGACTGCCTGTCACTTTTCATGCCAGAACTTTAAACCAAGATCAGTTTATGTTTAAAGTAACATTTTGTGAAATTTCACACAACACCACAAGATCGTAAAGGCCAAGTTCACTGAGAAAGACTCGTTATTGACTTGTTATTTTTAAAATATGATCGTTCACTCTTCGTTTATTTCCTGCATTAACCACCTATATTCATTCATTGACTCGCCCATCTTGACTGCTGGTGGGGAAGGCTGTTGCTGGTTTAGCGTCCAGCAAACAGCAGAGAACATTTCGGCTAGTAGAAGCTAAGTGTTAGCATTAGCAACTCCACCACACAGCAGAACTCACTCAGGTTTGTGTTATTTTGTAGAGAATAGACATCATCGTTGATGAGCTAACAGAGTCAGTGGTAGAGTCGCGTTGCTGTTATCCAGTTAAAGGCCAGATGCCCGAATATCAGGACTCCAAATCCTTCCACTCCCTTCTGCTCTGGCTAACTTATGGTTCCTGAAAAAGGAGTGCAGGAGTTTCTGTTCAGAGAGATCAACTCATAAGGCATTAATTCATACATACATACATACATAGTTCATAGAGGCTACTGCAAATGTGGAATAAGCAAGTGAACTTATACTTGGGCCCTGTACACACGTAGATAAACAATACCCGAAATGATTATTTAAAAAACTGGAAAATAAATATTTGCAAATTATCTGTTTCTTGCAGACATAAATAACTAATGTTTTAGGTTTCACATCAGTGCCCATGACCGTTGACATCACATGTGCAACCTGTTTACTCTCACTTGTTTTTACAAGCTCCAGTGCTGCTCTATGTAGAAGACCACAGCAAAAGACGATGCCAGGGCAGTTATTACCCAGCAGACTTCATTAATCAGAAGAATGCCTTTTGGCAAAGATGCAGAAGATTTGGGGAACCACTGCCTCCTACAGGCTTTGCATGCCTATGAATGTGCTTCACAACAAGTTTATCTCCTGTATGGAAGGGGGAGGATGTTCGGTTTTACAAAAACCCAGCTACGTGTGTACATGGCTCTAGAGTTTGTGTTAGAATGGCTGGCAGTTTCTATCACTCGCATCTGAAGCTAAATATCTGTAGAAGTGACTGAATTTTAGACATTTTTATGTTTTGCATTAGCCGTGGTGGCCATCTTAAATTAGGGCTGAGTGAAAAAGTGTATTAGTGCTGGACGACCATCCGATCATTCGTTCTTGTCATTCAGATCTGTCCAGGGATTTATGAGATTTTGCTCCCAGACGAAAATGTGCAACTCTAGAGATAAATGGTCTTAAAACTTGAAATATCTCAATTGGTCAGTTGTGTTGGGGATGATTACTAAAAATCTAATTGTGGCTAAACGGCTTCAAAACCGACGAATTAGTAGCCATTTTCTGTGTTTGTGAAGGTTGGTGGACTGTGTCTACCTTGAAGATGGTTGACTCTAAAGGTTGTTCAGTTGTGTTTACTCTCTGAAATTTCATTAAAGTCCATCTAAAGGATTATGAGATTTTATTTTAACAGAAAGAAAAAACTGATTGTAATGGCAAATGATTTAAAAGTTTTGACTCTGTTAGCACTCAGATTAGGTGTTTGTGAATTTCAGCTACCAACAGCTTGCACTTTAGCTCAGTATGTGGAAAATTGACAGAATTATAGCTACTTAAGAGTCTGCTAAGGTCGATTAGCTGTGGCAGCCATATTTAATTGGCTTGAGTCCAAAAGTTAATTAGTTGTAGATGTAGACCCAGTGATTACCGTCTGGGAGTTTCATTAAGATCCATCCTGTGATTTTTCTTTTTTTTTTTTTTTTTGCTCATATTTAGACATATCTCACACATACACACACACACACACACACACACACACACACACACACACACACACACACACACACACACAACACACACACACACACACAAATTGAGGCAAAAACATTATGGCTCGCATTTTCCCTTTCAGAAAGCTCCTTTAACAAACAGATTCCATCCATTCAGAAACTTGGACTCAGAATCCTTTTCTTCTAATACAAATTCTGTGCTTCTGATTCCCATTAAACCCAGCTGCAAGGGCTGCATCAGAGAGCACGGTGTACCAGAATAGAACACACACATCACTTACATATAGGAAGCTGAAAACGCACAAGACAAATGGAGTGTAAATAACCTGATTAAGCTGCATGTAGCAGGAGCGGTGGCAGGTTTATAACAAGCAGCAGCTTCGTTAGGCGACAGAGCGAGGGCTCTGCAGTTTCCATACACGCTCTGCTTCTTCAACAAAATTATTCACCCAACACTGTGCAGCACTGAAGAAACCTTTGGCAATGACACTTTCTTGTCATTTCAAATATAGAATAACCCAAGGCCAGCTAAATATCAAGATGTTTTTTAATCCTATCAAAAACGCTAAAAAACACACCAAGCACTTCTTTTTGTTTTATGTTTGTTTATTATAAACAGCTGTTTGTCAGAAACTGTTAATTAGCTTAAATGTGACTAATAATGCCTTTATTGTAAGTTATAGTTTTATAGTCAATACCAAGTAACTTATTTTCACACTTCTTCTTCCGGCTCTTGGAGAGTACAGATGCTTTTTTCCTCCTCTCCTCCCTTTCTTATCCCAAGGCTCTTTGTCTGTCTTTGGGCGTACGGCGCTTCTGCATTTTTTCTGGAAACTGGAAATTATTAGAAATGGACCTGGTCAGTTGGTCTTTCAATGCGATTGACGATTTTTTCAATGATGAGAGCGGGAGAAGGGGCTCCCAGATGCACCTCTGGGACAGAGCCAGCCGGGCACATCATGGACTCCTGGAAACAGTGGAACCTGATCTGCCTCTCTCAACTGTCTGTAGAGGATTCTGAAGACGTCTGGATATTCGTGGTGTTGGTGTCGGTATTCCAGCTGTTTGGCCTGAGCGGTTACCTGGCTTACCGGAAAATTAATGAGCTTTCGAGGAATATTGGCTCAATCCCAGAGCTCAGGGATGGATTACTCCGCGCTGTGAATGCACAAACTCATATAATTGTTGAGATGAGTCGTAAGCTTGGAACTTTGGCTGAGATTTAGACTCTGGCACAGAAGGTTGATTCCATCAAGGAGCGAGTTGAATTTCTGATTTTTCACTTGTGATTTTTTTTTATCCTCAAGTCTTACAAATGTTTGACGTAATTTTATATGTAATTGAAAATCAAGAATTACCACCTGCTCTAGACTGAAGCAGATAAAGAATGATTCCTGTGGTATTTATTATTGTTTTTGGTTCTTTGTTTATGGGTCAACTGTACTTTTTAATAGTTTTTACAGACTTTTGAATCTAATTTAAAGATCTTTCTTAATTGACGTAAAACATTACAGTAAAATTAGAGGTTAGTACATGAAAGGACAGCTTTCAAAAGTGACAACGTTTTTGATGTGAGACCAAAACATTTTCATAAAGTAAGTAAAAGAAATCCAGTCATCCTAAAACAGAATAATTAAAAAGAGCTTCTCAGGATGATACCATTTGTAGCACAACACAAACCCAGTAGAGAACATTTGTATTCAACGTTTCATTATTGTACTTTTTTATTTCTAAGAAAATCAAACCACAAAGTTTACACAATAATTGACTTATGCTTCTGCAAATCAGTGTCAGCTCTGCTTAAGCCCCCTTGGCACGCACACACACATACACACACAACATTCAGATGACAGACTTTAAAGGTTTAACTGTTCATCAGACATATTTTATTTACATAAATTAAAATAAAAATTAATTGAATGAAAATTATAAATTGGAATTGGTCACGGTTTGGCGCATTCCCCAGTATGAGGTCTTGATTTGATCTCTTGTTTTTTGTTTTGACACAGACATCTCTAGAAACCAAGTGAGGAAATCAGAAGCCCATTTCGGGGGTGTGGGGGGAGGATAAGTTTACTCGAGTAAATGACCTAATCCTTGGAGGTTTTTCTCACTTTATAACCCTACTTTCTACTTTGTCCACTACATTCTTCCTGTTTTAGACATGAAGCTAGTTCTGCACTCGTCAGCTGCCCGAAAGCCATTGAGCTAATTGCTGCCACTCACCCACCTGGTTATCACCACTTTGGCATTGCATTAGTCAGGGTGGTGAAAGTGCCCGTGGAGGGATGTCAGTGCCATTGGAGGTCTGATAAGTTGTGCCTGTTTTTCCTCCAAACACAACGTCCCCAGTAGATTTCAGATCCAACAACACTTAAAGACAAAAGACTTGTTTACCCCAAGGACGAAGCCAAGCAATGGTCTGTATTCGCTCTTCAAGGAGTCTGCACATAAGTCTATTTGGGAGAGTTAACAGATTAACAAAAACCCAGGAGTCCTCTGCACATAGAGCACTACAGCCCTGGACAAGGAAAACAAGTGTTTTTAGAAAAGAGTGAAGGAATCTGACTTTGTAGAACTGGTGGATTGTCGAAGGGAGCCATTGTTGAGAAGGCTTCTCGTTTTGAATACAATTGAACTTGAAATGCCAAAGATATTATTTTTCCATACTATCCATGACATGTGAAATGAACAATAGTGTGATTTTTAATTTA